ACAGTAACAGACAAGTGTGGAGCTAGGTATCTCTCTGCTTCAGCTTACTCACCACAAAGTAGGGTGAACCTGTCACGTAGTGTCAGGAGGAATCGATGAGTTCACTGACTCTCCAGCAAGTGTCTTGTTGAGTGGCCACAAAGTTTCCAGCACTGTTCTGGACTCTGGGATAATGAGAGAGACAAGTCTTCCCCTCGAGGTTATGGGGCAGCAGGGTAGTGGACTGATGAGCAAAGCACCCAGTGTGTGAGAGGATGGCAAGAGCCAGGAAGAGACAGGGCAGCAGAGGGGCTGGGAAGGGTAGGGGTAGGGCAGCCAGGGAAGCCTCAGCAGAAGACAACAGGTATGCATTGGGCTGGGCATGGTGGCGTACACTGGTAATCTCAGCAACTTGGAAAGCTAAGGCAGGAGGACTGCAAGTTCAAGGCCAGCCTCAGTAACTTAGTGGGGCCTTAAGCAACTTAGCAAGATCCTGTCTCAAAATAAAAAAGTTGGGATATGACGCAGTGGTTAAGCCCCCTAGGTTCAGTCTCCGGACCAAAAAAAAAGAATTATTGTGTTGGAAGAATTCAGAACGGTACTACCACTATCCTTGGCTGGTTTTGGTGGTGGTGTGGTAGGACTTTGGGCTAGCCGCTTCCTCTGGGTCTCAGTTTCTTATCCAGAAACCAGGCAGGAATGGCTTTTCTCAAACACTGGTGATCTGAACATCATCTTGGGAACTAGTTAAAAAGCCTGATACCTAGGCCCCTCTCCTCAGCCCCAGGTCTGCTGATCAGAGTCTCCTGAGTTGAAGGAAACTCCAGGAACTGGTGAACCGTTTTCATGTCCACTGAAGCCTGAGGGCTTGGGAAGGATGGGGAGCTCTGACACGTGAAGAGGGCCATGGTGGAGGCCTGGCCTTTTCCCCACTCCACTTCTCATCCCCTCTTACTCTCCTCATCCAGGGTCTGGAGATTGTGAACCCACAAGCAGCTGAGAAGAAGGTGGCTGAGGCCAACCAGAAGTATTTCTCTAGCATGGCTGAGTTCCTCAAGGTCAAAAGTGAGAAGAGTGGCATCATGTCCACCTGAGAGATGGCATACGCCCAGGGTGGCCACCCACTGAAGAGAACTGGAAGCCCAGCCCTCTGAAGGGATCCAGCTCAGAGCCAGGAAGTTCTGGGGTGGAGAGCCTGCTCTGCCCTGCTGTTGGTTCAAGACCAGGACATCGATGGAGTTAATGGAAGAGGCTCTGTCCGCCACCCCCAGGACTAATACCACCACCCCATTCAGGGGCAGAACTGGTCTTCCTCATACTCATCTTTTTAACTGAGACAAGAGATCCTTTTTTAGGGAAGAGTGTAATTAAAAGCACAGTACAAAGATCTGTCCTTGGGGAGTGATCATTCATCCAACACCTTAGAGGAGCCAGAGCCACTGGGTTTAGGGAAAGAGCTTGGGCTTCCAATCCAGGTGGTGTCTGGGCCACCTCCCTCCCTTATCCTGGGCTCCTGGGTGAAGCCCTGGAGAACATCAGTCATTGTGATGCCCTGGCAGTATTGCCCTTAAAGGCTTCAGCATGCAACATGGGCAGACTGGATTGTTCTGGTCCCTTGGGCCAGTGGCTTCACCTTCCCAGCATTCACGCCCTCCCCATGAGGTACCTGGGAGGACTGGGAAGAATGCACAGCCCACAGGAGGGGCCCAATAGCTGGATTCTGTTATTTTTTTTTAAAATCATTTATTTTTTAGAAATTGTTGGACACAATACCTTTATTTATTTTTATGTGGTGCTGAGGATTGAACCCAGGGCCTCATGCGTGCTAAACAAGTGCTCTACTGCTGAGCCACAATCCAGCCCTGGATTCTGTTACTTTTAACCCATGTTTGCTGGGGGTAGGGGGTGCTGAGTTCTGACAAGGGTGAGGGAAGCAGACTTCCTGCACCAGTATGAACTACTGACTCTCAAAGTCCCTGCCAGGTAAGGAAAAGGAGCACACGTACACCCTCACTCACACTCACTGACCACCCTGTCTGGGGAACTGGGGCTCAGTTGAAGTGCCTTCACTCACTTAGGCTGAGGGGAGAGGTGTCCTGGTGAGCAACAGTGTCGTGGGAAAGAGTCCTTTGTCCACATCTCTCTTCAGAATCTCCTTTCCTTCCTTGACCTGAGTTTGTTATCTGCCATTGGTGGGTGGGGTGGAGGCATAGAGGTGTGAATCTCAAAATTCAGTATGCTTCAGAGTTCCTGGAGGACTTGTTAAAACATGTTTACTGGGCCCAGAGTTTGGTTCAGTTTCACTAGGGTGGCGCTTAAAATGTGCATTTCAAAGAAGTTCCCAGGTGGTTGATATTTATGCTGCTGATTCCAAGGACCACATTTTGGGGAGTCAATGCTCTAGAAAAGTCTTCTGTGAGTGGCTCAGATTAGCTGCACACTGGAATCATTTCAGGAAAAATTACTGTCTGGTTCCCACCCCCAGAGAGTAATTTGGTTGGTCTAGTGTGAGCCTGGGAATCTGGATTTTTTTAAAGCTCCCCAAGTGATTCTATTGTGCAGCCAAGCCTGATGGTCATCTCTCTGCATTCTTGGGGTTCCAAGTGTGAAGTATGGACTAACAGCATGATCTATGAGCTTGTCAGGAAAGCAGAATCTGAGACCTCTTAAACCAAATCTGTATTTTAAGAAATCCCTAGATGATTTGTGAGATGCCTACAAGACATCTTTGTACCCATGGGCCACACTTTGAAAGGAAAGCTCTAGATCAGTAGCTCTCAAACTTCCTGGGAAATATGTAAAAATGCAGATTCCTGGGTGCCACTCCCTTAGATCGGTATGGTTCTAGAAATACGAATTTTTACAAGCATTCCTTCCTCTCTTGCCTCATGCAATTCTGACAGAGGTGATGCAGAATGTCTAACAGGCCATTACTTTTCACCACCTAGAGGAGTGTATTACTTCTGTTGTGTGACCCCAGGCGAAAAACCTCCCAGTGCCCAGGAAGCTGAGGTACCCATTGAGTTTTCAATAAGTTATCACCTGCATTCATTCAGCAAAAGCTATGACTGCTTCCTGTGTCTTAAGTACCAGGGAGGCAAAATTCAAATGGGGAACACAAATAAGTATGAAAATGACAGTCATGCAAAAATAAATCCTCACCTGAGCATTCAGTATGGTCAATTAGACTTTTTCCCCCAAGAAAAAGACAACGGAGCTGGGACGTGTAACGAGCAGGTGTTACTGGAGACAACCGAGGGAAGGAAAGGGCAGCCTCATCTGTACCTTCTGCGGCATACTTACTGAAGAAAGGTGCAGAGGACAGTATTCCACTGTTCGCTCACTTAACCAGTCAAGGCAGGACAAAACCTCCACTTCTCGCGCTTTCCAACCAATTCTGCTATATATGATACTAGTGACTTGGAGGCACTGTCTCAAGTTCCTTCCTTAATTCAGCAAATACTGAGATTTAGAGATGTTCTAAACAGAAGCAGTTAGAGAAAGACCATAAAACTTAGAATGCAAGAGATGCGGAAGGATGCTCCTGAGAGCCACACCTGCGGGATACACCCTAGATCACACGTTGTATGTGTAGATGCCGCCCCGCTCGCTACATTATTGGTCAAACTGAGATGAATAACAGGACCAGAGAAGGAAAAGGGGTGGGCCTTTTTGCCTAGCTCCGCCCCCTCGGGCTGTCAGCTGTTTTGATTGGCAGATGAATTCAGTTCGGCACCAGCTAGGAAGGCACCTGTCTCGGATTAGGTACGCGGCTTTTAACGCCCACTCTCCATGCCTTCCTCCACTTTCCCCACCCACTTCCAGGTACAACCAATAGCTTCAAGGCAGAATGTACCCCGCAACCAATTAAGAATGGCTCCGAACTTGACGGACGACTTCCCGCCCCTGATCAGCTTGGCTCCTCCTCCCGACCAATTGGTTAAGGAGAGGGGGGCGGGTACATCCAATCAGCACGACACAGGCCTCCTGATGGACGCACAGGTCCTCGCGCTGGCGTGTTGTGCCTGAGGCGGGAGGAGGAGGAGGAGCGAGGAAGAAAATCTGAGCCAATCCTAGCAGGCTGCGCGGGAGGCCAATCGAACGCCGCGCCTTGCAGCGATTGCCCAATCCGCAGGAGGGGGCCGGCCGCATCTCTGCCAAGAACCAATAGAGTGCGTCCGACGGCCAAGAGCGGCGTGCGGCAGGAGCAATGACAGGCCTATATTCGGGGCTCGGGGGCGGGTCGGCGCCAGAGACGAGAAGAGAGGAGGGGAGGCCTCCTCCGCCGCCGCCATCTTGGACCGGGCCCGGTCAGCTTCCGCGGAGCCATCGGCAGACGCCGCGGCCTCCCTTGAGCCCCGACCCCCGTCGTCAGAACAACCCCGGGCCCACTCCCCCCACCCCACTTCCGCTTCGCGCCGCTATCGCGATAGCGCCCGGGCCCGGGGCGCGAGAAAAAGGCGGCGAGCGCTCGCCTCCCCCGCCTGTCGCGATACGCTCCTCAGCGGCGGCGCCAGCTCCTGCGGTGAGAGCGTCGGGCTCGACTGGGCCGGACCCCTTTCCCTCCCCCGGTGCCGCCGGCCGCCTTTCGTGCCGCCTGCCCCGGCGGTCCGCCGCCTGTCGTGACACGGCGCCCTGCCCTGCCTTGCCCTGCCCTGCCCTGCCCTCGCCGCGCGCCCGCCGGACCCCGTCGCCGCTCCGCGCCCGCCGCTCGGCCCTTCCGGCCTCGGCCGCCGCCTCCCGCGTGGCGCCGCGCCGGCCCGGGTGCGAGGTGCCGCCCCCTCCGCCGCGCTCGAGTCCGCCCCCGCCGCGGCGCCCGCGCACCCTCCCGCCGCCAGCCCCCGGAGCGTGGCCGCCCCGCCCCGGGCCCTGCCGCCGGCGGGCGATCGGTGGCGGACTGAGTCCCCGGCCCGCAGCGGCCGCGCTCGGAGTTAGAGCCTCAGCCAAAGTTTCCGCCTCGCAGCGTGTGGCTGTTGCCCCAGTGTAGAGTCCCGGCGGCCCGCCCCGTGCCTGAGCCTGAGCCTGAGCGTGGCGACCGCCGACCCAGGCGGTCCCTGGGTGCCCGCCCTGTTATCTGGGGCTGGGCGCCGCCTCTGCTTCGGGGGTGCCGGGTCCCCTGGATGCACACTGCCTGCCTCTCCGGGTGTCAGGGCCGGTTAGCTCCCCGGGTCTGGGTGAAGCCTCCCGAGCCCACTCTCCTGCTGTTGCTGAGCTCCTGGCGCGGGCAGGGCACGCGCCTGTTTTTCTGAGTGGTAGCTGCTTTTTGGTGCAGGGGCTGTAACCTCCCCCAGGATTAGCCTCCTGCCCTTTTGGTGAAGGTTCTCCACGCCAGGGGTTGTGCCTTCCCTGAGTCTGAGACATCTGTTTTGGGTGTTGTCACCCCAGGAGCCAAGAGCCCCTTCCCCTTCGGTATTCTGGAGAGAACTCTTCCTATGAGGGTGTGATTGTCCCATCATCGAGTTTAGGAAGTTGTAGAATATGGGCTTGCAGGCCACTCAGCTGTCACCCCACAGGGATGGAAAACCTCTCAGACCTAAGGCTTCTGATGGGAGAGGTGGCTTTTCTCTCTAGGGTTGTGCTTTCTTTCCAGGGTAAGGAGTTTGTCTTGGTTTTGCCACTCCCAGGAATAAGGTCCCTGCTTTCTTTGGTGTTGACATTGTCCCCTCTCCTGGTTTTGAGGTGTCCATGCCCCCATGTGTCTTCACTAGTGAGACTAAGGACCCCCTTGGGTTGGGGTGCCCTTGGCCAGTGCTTCTCATCTCTGACCTTGTAATCACAAAGACCTTGCTGTGGGTCCCACTCCATTGTGGGAGTATGAGGTGCCTGAGACTGGAGATACCTCATGTGACCACCTTCCCAGGGAATAGAGTGCTCTGCTATAACTCCATGGTGGGAATTCCCATACCTACCCTTGGTGTTGGGCTCTCCCAGGGAATATAACTACCTCCACCCATGACCTGCCACCCTGGTGCCTGCATCTTCCCCAAATTGAGACTTGCCTTGTGACACTGCTCACCAGAGCTCCTTGTCTAGAGTGTAAGCTCTCCTAGATCAAAGGCACTTTGCACCGAGATCTCTGTATGAGCATGTGATGGCCCCAGGATTAGGGACTAAGCTTTGTGCCCCTCATGGCGCCTGAGGTGAAGTTCTGGGGCCTCTTTGTTATTGGCTTCCCTGCTCTGGTGTGTGGCTCATCCCTCCTGCCCCCTCAGTGTGAGCTCCTAACTTGGTGATGAACATGAGATCCTTGTGGTTGGGCCAGTTCTGGGCCAAGAGTCCCACATTCTTCAGTTCTGTCTCAGACCCCACTGTCTGAGCACATGTTTGGTGTGAAGGCACCCCTTCTTCACAGGCCCTGAAGTAGTTAACTCCTGGAGGGGTCTCGGGGAAGCCTTGGATGAGGATCCTCTGGTGGCGTCTTCACCTCCGTGCTGCACACCAGCCTCGTTTCTCTTTGTACCTTTGCTGGGGATGGGGCATCTGGTGTGCAGGCATCCTCTTGGGGGCGGGGGTTCTTTGTGGGGAGAGCACTGAGCTGAGACTCCAGCATCCCAGGGAGGAGTACCCTGGGCCTGTGGCACTTGCCCCTTCTCTTGTGGAGATGCTTTTCCCCCAACCAGGTATTGTCCACACCAGTAGCAGCTGTGCCCACCTTGATGTCAGAAGCACTGCCCCAGCACCGTCCCGCTCCTCTGGCTCCTTGCTTCTGACTCCTTCAGGACTTGCGCCTCCTTGGTGCCACAGCATGGTCCCTCCTGGAGGGTATCAGCTCCTCCCCTGACTAAGGTCCCAACCCCTTTGGTATGGGATTTGGGGGAGGGCGTCACTTCATTAAGGTGTAGAGTGCCTTATTTAGGAATGTGAACCATGAGATGACTTCTCCCTCCAGCCTCTGACCCTCTGTTGCACACTTGGGTGGAAGGAGGGAGTGTAAAGTCTTGTAAAGTCTTGTCCCTGATGAAGTAGGGGCTTTTCTGTGCTGGCGTGTTGGAGCCAGTACTCACTCTTGGTCAACATCCCTGCATGCTGCATTTTGGTGTCTGGGCCCTGGTAGAAGGACGCTGGATCAAAGGTACTTGCCCCAACTCAGTTTGAGTTCTCTCACTGGGACTGTCCTCTGTGTCCTGTTGCTTCACTTTCCTGGAGGTTCCCCGCATTTGTGTCCGTTGACCCTGAGGTACTGCTTTTCTTCAAATGACCCTGTACTGAGTCCCCTGAGTCTCAGGTGCCACCTCCACCTATCTCCATCCATAGGAATAGGTCCCTATGGGATCAGTAAAAACAAAAATAGTAAACCCTGTGGTGAAGGTATGGCTCTGTTCTTTCTTTCTGTGCCTCGTGTCTTAAAGCCTGCTGTCTTTATAGTGCCCCATTCAGTAGGTGCTAGCCCTTGTGGCAATTAGTAACAACTTTAAAATAAAAGAAGTTGTTGGGTATGATGGTTCTTGCCAGTAGACCCAGCTGCTTGGAGACTGAGGCAGGAGGACTGCTTGAGCCTGGAACTAGAAAACCTAAGCAACATACTGTGAATTATTATTTTTTTTTTTAAAAAAGTAAGTTCCTTAGTTGCACTGGCCACCCTTCAAGAATTCAGAGGCTGTGTAACATTTCCCACATTGTACGTGCTATTGGACAGGACTGTCCCCTGGGTGTTTCCTACCTGTTGGTGAGGATTCCTGGTGTGGTCCCACCAGGTTGAGGCTCTTAGTCCTCCGTGTGAAGCAGTTGCTGCCTTCACAGTAGTAACTGTGGGTACCCCTGCCCTTTGCCAGTGGAGTAGGAATGTCCTTGGATCCTTGCTTTTCAGTGTAGGCCCCTGGGGAAGGCAACCTCTGCTTGCAACTCAGAAGTCCTCTTAGCATGGCCCTCCCTCCCAAGGGTCCCTTGGTCTCCGTGTTGGGCCCTGTGGTGTGGCTTCAGCATGACTAGAAAGACTGTGGTCTCCCCTGGATTGCATGTAACTTTCCTTAGGGCAAAGATGCCTGTCTTTAAGTTCTGGGTGCCTGCCCTGGTGGTATAGGTTCTAGTCTATTTGATATGGAATTTCTTTGCATGTGCAGATCAACTCCCTTGTGGCTAAGGTACCTTTACATCCTCTTATCTTTGTAAGATTTCTATCTTTTCCCAACTCTCTCTTGGGTACTGCTTTCTGCCCCCAAATCACCTGCCCTTCTTGGTATCACACTCTTTGGGTTAGTATTGTTCCCTTTTGGCTCAAGGATTCGGCCCTGGGGTAAATTTCTTGGAGATCTGCGACCTCTCTGGTAGGATTGGGTTTAACTCTTCTTAGTTTTAGGTATCTCCTGTCACTCTTCCACCTTGCCCCAGCGTCCCCTCCCTCTTGCACACTTCATGGGTGCATACATGGTATCAGGCCTTCATGCCGCTTGTCTCTTGGCTTGCCTGAGGAATGACTTCTAGTCACCCCTGTTCCCAGTCCCTTTTTGTAGGAAGTGTGATTTCTAGGGCCAGTGCCTTTGTCTTGTAGTCAACCTTGTGCAGTATGACTGTCCTGCTCTACAAAATCCTTGGATGGTTATCTGGGGAAAGGATGCTCTGTACTCTAGGAACCTTCCAGTTCCTGGGTCAGAGGACCACAAAAAAGTGTCTTTCCTCATTTTAACAAAACTCCCAGAGTATCGCAGCTGGGCAATTGAGGGAGCTTAAGGAGAATTGGACCCGGCCTCTCATTAGATAGTACACATTTTTTCCCTTTACCCTGCCTCTTACCCCACATTTCCCACCTGTGTTCTTGTCTCTGGACCAGCAGAGGAATAGGTGTTAATTCCTTCCCAATCTTTGCCAGCAGCGTCTGTCTCCAAGGGAGTATGAAGAGAGTGCGTCTGTAGGGCAGGGAAGATGGCGGACAAGCGCAAACTCCAAGGTACCGGACTGACTACCCACTGCACGTGTAGCTGAATGCTCTCTTTGGGGGGTTCCTCTTTGGCTGCTCAATGGGCAGGATTCTAACTGCCTGCCATCCTCCTTCACAGGTGAGATTGATCGCTGCCTTAAGAAGGTGTCCGAGGGTGTGGAGCAGTTTGAAGATATTTGGCAGAAGGTACAAGGGCCCTAAAAATCTGGGTTTCCAGGGAGAACACAGGAAGCGCTTTGGGGGTCTCTGGGTGTTGGCAAGGGAGGGGGCTGTATATCCTGGTGCTGAGGACCTATGAGAGCCAGCTTAAAAATGGATGGCGGGGGCTGGGGTGGGTGTCAGAGTCCCCCGCCTGAGGAAGAGAGACTGGACCTTTGCCGTGGAGCAGGTTTCGGGACAGCCACTCCCACACTGACTGCTGGATTCTCCATCCCTCAGCTCCACAACGCAGCCAACGCGAACCAGAAAGAAAAGTATGAGGCTGACCTAAAGAAGGAGATTAAGAAGCTACAAGTGAGGGGGCTGGGGCTGGACTCCTGTGTCCTGTGGGAGGAGGGCCTGGGAGAGCGGACTACTGGGTCCCAAGAAAAGAGGGAGCTGAGGGTCCTGGTTTCCAGATCCAAGATCTGACTTTCTTGCTTGTCTTCTCTGCAGCGGCTGAGGGACCAGATCAAGACATGGGTAGCATCCAATGAGATCAAGGACAAAAGGCAGCTTATTGACAACCGCAAGCTTATCGAGACGGTAGGAACCCAGAGCCTAGGTCCCTAACCAGGGTGGTAGCCAGATTCCTGGGACCCCAGGGGGCAGAGATGGAGCAGTCACTCCAGAGATCCCAGGAGGAATACGGCATTTAACCTGAGGGAAGGGAAGAGGCAGTGGGCCTAGAGTCTGAGGGATGGGTCCTGAGGCTCAGATTCAGGTGTTGCTGGCCCTTAGTTCCATTCCCACCTTCAAGCCCCCCCTGCCAACTGCTTTCTCTACAGCAAATGGAACGGTTCAAAGTTGTGGAAAGAGAGACCAAAACCAAAGCCTATAGCAAGGAGGGCCTGGGCCTGGCGCAGAAGGTGGATCCCGCCCAAAAGGAAAAGGAAGAGGTTGGCCAGTGGCTCACGGTGAGTTGGGGCAGAGAAGAAGAGGTAAGCTTGGGGTCCTGGCCCCAGCATACCCAGGACCCCTGGCTAATAGCCTTCTCCCCCTGTAGAATACCATCGACACCCTAAATATGCAGGTGGACCAGTTTGAGAGTGAAGTGGAATCGCTGTCAGTGCAAACGCGCAAGAAGAAGGGCGACAAGGATGTGAGTGGGGGGAGCCCCGAGACCCATGGGGTGGAAGATGGAGGTGGGCTAGCAAGTGGGAGCCCATGGGAACTGGGTCTGGATGCCTGAGCAAACCTGGGGTGAGGGCTTGGAGAGGCAGAATTACGGTAGTACAGGAAGGAGGTAGACAGAATCAGGCCCAAGGTGTCTGGGTAGATGGTAGGTAGCGAGGCCATCACAAAGAGAAGCAGTTTGGAGGAAAATGAACTCAGGTTCAGCTGGGACCACAAAGTAAGTGTGAGACCTGAAGGGTGACATAGGTGGGAGGCCACATAGCACCTAGAGCCCAGATTCTCAGGAGAGGGTGGCAGGACAAGACAGGGCTCTGAGAGCAATGGGTATGGCCTGAAGAAGAAGAGTGGTCTGGGATGAAGTCAGATGTTGGAGTCCTGGATTCTACTCTAGGATTGTAGGGTGTGGATTCAGAGGAATACAGATAATGACCGATGGGGTTCACTAGGAAAGTTGGAGGTGGGAGTATGACAGTGTTGGATGTGAGACCCTGAGAAGTTTGGGAAGTAGGAACTCAGAGAGAGTGGTTCCTTGAAGAAAGGAGAAATTTGAAACTGATCTAAGATGTCAAATCCAAAAAGGAACTGGGGCCTTGGGAGCAGGCAAGAGCTGGGCTTCTGGATCTGGGTCTCTAGGGGTATACAGATAGGTGTGTGGGCTGGTGATGGATGTGCCATGATTACAACAAGCAGATCCTCAGACAGGAACTGTCATTGTTACTGTTAGGGCGAGACAGGAGAACGGGTGTTTATCCCAGGAGGTCAGAGCAGGTAGGGGCGCAGTTGAGAGGCTGCAGGTGGCATAGGAGCATCTTGGTCTTTCACCAGTTTCCAGGGATCACCGGAGACAAAAAGGGTCTAGGGAGGGTGTGGTAGGGATCCCTGAGATGTCAGAAACCTTGAGCTTGGTTCCTGTGGGGTAGAGGGTGGGCAGACTCCACACTGCCCCATGCTGGGAGGGGCCAGAGTGGAGCCTCCGGGTCACCGTGGGGATTGGGGACTGAGGACAGGTTCTGTGGGGGCAGGAGGGGCCGGGCAGGCTCTCTGCAGCCCCTGAGCCTGGCCCTGGGCTCGCCAGCAGAAGCAGGACCGGATTGAGGGCTTGAAGCGGCACATCGAGAAGCACCGCTACCACGTGCGCATGCTGGAGACCATCCTGCGCATGCTGGACAATGACTCCATCCTCGTGGATGCCATTCGCAAGATCAAGGATGATGTTGAGTACTACGTTGACTCCTCTCAGGACCCTGACTTTGAGGAGAATGAGTTCCTCTATGATGACCTGGATCTCGAGGACATTCGTAAGGCCCTGGACTGACCTTCATGGTGCAGAGGGTGAAGGCCCCGAAGGGTCAGCTGCACCAGCTAATCATGCCCCTCTCCTGCCTCCACAGCACAGGCGCTGGTCGCCACCTCCCCCCCCAGCCACAGCCACATGGAGGACGAGATCTTCAACCAGTCCAGCAGCACGCCCACCTCAACCACCTCCAGCTCTCCCATCCCCCCCAGTCCAGCCAATTGCACCACGGTGAGGACCCAGAGTAGCAAGATGCTATAACCAGGAGGATGGGAGTTAAGAGGAGCCTGTTTTCTCCAAAGTGGCCTGCAGGGAGGGCAGCTGAGGCCCTTCTTGATGTAAAGAGCTGATAGGTGGACCCTGGTGTCCCACACAATCTTAAGCCATGGGTGGGTCTTGGGTGTGTGGGGCCAGTGCAGGGGGCGCCTGAGGCCCTGGACAGCAAGCTCAGGCAGAGGGATCCAAGGACTGAAATTCCCTAAGGAGAGAAGGTTCCTAGGTTGTTAGGAAGATGGGGGCATTAATGCCAGCTCCCAAAAGACAAGGACATTGGGGAACCTGAATTTAGGTGGTTTCTCCAGAAAAATTAAGGTTAGGTGTTTGGACAACTCTGGGGGTACAAAGTCATTCAGCTGGGTCCAGGTCCCCAGGAGGTTCAGAGATTATGGTGTCTCTGTGTTGGGACCTAAGAGCCACACAGGTGTCTGACTCCACCTCCCCCAACCAGGAGAACTCTGAAGATGATAAGAAGAGAGGACGCTCGACAGATAGTGAAGTCAGCCAGGTGGGTTCAAGCCAGTAATGGATGGGCATGTCCCCTGTTTATCCAGTGGTTCCCAAAGGCTTATTCAGGTCTGAGTGCTAGCCACTGTGCTAGGCTTAGGCGAGTGGAGGCTCAGAAATTGTTGCCACCGTGAGGGGAGATAGGCAGGTGACTGACCGCTGTGGTTCAGGTGGCCGTGCCCTGGGCGCCAGAAGAAGACGAGGCAGCCGCAGTTTGAAGTGGGATGAGTGTAGCCTGGGATTGTTGGGCTACGGGGCTAGGGCTTTGTGGACCAGCCCTGAAAGGGCCAAGCAAGACTGAGAAGCGATAGGTTGAAAGCAGACACCTGCCGTGGAACTACCTGGGTGGGAACACACAAGGATGACGTTAGGAAGGGCAGAATGGGCCTAAGGCCCCCTGTGGGCCAAGGGAGAGGCCCTTGGTGGACATCAGTGAGACTGGTGTGGGGACCAGGATTGGGAGCAGTGAGAGAGAGGCTGGGGCAGGGACTCCCAGGTGGGCTTTGCCACCTTCCTGGACCCCCACAGCCAAACAGCAGTCCCAGGAGGGAAGTGGGTAGCCAGTCCCATTTGGTGCCTGGTGAGCCTGAGTTTCCCATGTGGTGGTGAAGAAATGTCCACACGTTGGTTGGTGTGGCAGCCCACGTTGTCGGTCAGAACTTGGCTGCAGCAGGGATGCTCTGCTGCTGCTTTCTGCAGTGTGTAATGTATGACCCCATGAGTGGCTGTGGTGGTCCTTTCAGTGACATTCAGAAGCAGTGCTTGACTGTCAGCTGGTTTTCTTCTACTCTTGAACATGAGGCTGCTCAGGCTCCTCTCCTGTTGAGGGCATTTAGGAGGCTCCCACTAGTCCCTTTTGACCAACAACAGATGGGTCTTCGCTGACTGACAGCAAGAGTTGTGCCAGATCACCATAGGGTACATGGGGAGGTGTCCTGGCAGAATTTAGGGAGCTGGGCAGACTGGAAATAAATGTGTTTTGAGCACAAAGATGACTGAAGCAGTTAGGATGAGGTCCCCCGGTTCCCTGGAGTTTGGGAGCAGTCAAGGGCAGCAAGTTCAGAGAAGAGGTTGGTAGGACCATGATGGAGCCTGAGCCTGAGGTGGGTGGGAACCTGCTGATCCACTGGGTCCTGACACTGTTCTCTCTTCCCTGCAGTCTCCAGCCAAAAATGGTTCCAAGCCTGTCCACAGCAACCAGCATCCCCAGTCCCCAGCTGTGCCACCCACCTACCCCTCTGGTCCCCCGCCTGCCGCCTCTGCCTTGAGCACCACCCCTGGCAACAATGGGGCACCTGCCCCAGCAGCACCCCCAAGTGCCCTGGGCCCTAAGGCCAGTCCAGCTCCCAGCCACAACTCGGGCACCCCGGCCCCCTATGCTCAGGCTGTGGCCCCACCAGCCCCCAGTGGGCCCAGTGCTACCCAGCCCCGACCCCCCAGTGCCCAGCCTGGCGGGGGTGGTGGTGGCGGTGGTGGAGGGAGCGGCAGTAATAGTAACAGCAGCACAGGTGGAGGGGCTGGCAAGCAGAACGGTGCCACCAGTAAGTGAGGCCGGCAGGGTGGGAGGAGGGGCCTGGAGCAGGATAGGGAGCAGCCAACAGCCCCTTTCTCTTTGCCTTTTGCTCCCCCCAGGCTACAGCTCAGTCGTGGCAGACAGCCCTGCAGAGGTGGCCCTGAGCAGCAGTGGGGGCAACAGTGCTAGCAGCCAGGCCCTGGGTCCGGCCTCAGGTCCCCACAATCCACCTCCCAGTACCTCGTGAGTGTCTTGGCAGCGGCAGTAGCAGCCTCTCCTGGAACACATAGGCTCTGGTGGCTCCCTCATTGGGGGATTGCTAACCTGGCCTTGATGGGCAGGGCGTCCAGTGGGCTTTGACTTCCACCTTTGCTAGGTGTCCGGTCTCCACTTCTCTTCACCTGGGAGGTGTGCATTAGCCTCTAGCTTTATCCAGTAGCTTGTCCTAAATCCACCTTCCTTTCACTGGGACTTTTCTCCAGTGCCCCACCATATTCTCACCATTTCTGTTTCCTGCCCCAAGGCTGACTCCCACTGGATGGGACATTGTTCCACTTTTCCAAGTGAAATGTCCACAAATCTTCCTTTGTTTCTAGCCATTCCTCCAAAGTTTAAGTCAGAGCACTCCTCTGGGTCCACCTGTTTTTGAAAGAATGCTAAATGAAGGACCTGTCATCCTCCTCCTCCTCCACCCCAGCTCTAGCTGGGTTGCCCCAGGGGCACCTGCCCTGTGTCCATCTACCTGAGAACATCCCCCCCCCCCCCATTCTCTCTTTACCTCATGGCCTATTTGAGCACCTTCAGAATCTGTATTCCCACTCCGGCAGCTCTGCTTTACTGAGGAAAAAATCCCAGAAATTAATTCTACCTTGGTCCCAAAAAACTGCTTCTGTCCTAAGTAGCCCCTCTCAGAGCCCATCTGGCTTCTCTGTGCTCATCACTCCCACGACTTTCCTCTGAGCCACTTCCCCTTCTCATCTTATTCCCAGGAAAGAATCCAGTGCGGCAGCCCCAACAGGGGCTGGCGGTGTGGCCCCAGGCTCAGGGAACAACTCAGGGGGACCCAGCCTTCTAGTGCCACTGCCTGTGAACCCCCCCAGCTCCCCAACGCCCAGCTTCAGTGAGGCCAAGGCAGCTGGTGCTCTGCTTAATGGACCACCGCAGTTCAGCACCACCCCAGAAGTCAAGGTGAGCTCTGAGTATCCCTGATTTCTGTGGCCTCCAGGTGTTTTCCTGCACCCTGTTCCAGGTCTCCAGCAACACCTCTACCTCCCCTTCCTCTCTGAATGTTTATCTGGTTTTTCTTCCCTTTTCTCTGGACCTTTTCCACCCCACATCCTCACCTCCATCTCTGGTGCTCTCAACCCCCTTGGTTCTTTCTGGGACTGTGTGTTTCTCTGGTCTTCTTTCCCTTTCTGTTGGTTGTATTTGCTCGCCTGCTTTCCATGGGTTTGTTTTTTATCTCCCCAGACCCTCAGTCTCTGTCCTGTCCTGAGATGCATGGTACTTTCTACTTCACATGCCCATTCCTTAAGTCACCATGCCCTTAGGCCTTCTAAAAGACCATTTCAATCAAGAAAACACTTGAGTGGTGTGTGGTGTCACACCTATAATCCCAGCAACTCGGGAGGCTGAGGCAGAAGGATCACAAGTTTGAGGCCAATCTAGGCAACTTGCTGACCCTGTCTCAAAAAAAAAAAAAAAAAAATATATATATATATATATATATATATATATACACATACATACATACATATACTGGGGATGTAGCAGAGTGGTAGAACACAACTGGGTTCAATCACCAGTACCAAAAGCAAAAAAATATTTGTTCAGGTCATTTCTCTGAGCCAGGTTTTGTGCTGGTTCCTGCCCTCAGGAATTGTTCCAGTGCTAGAGGGAGCTGTGTGTGATCAGGTGGCCACAGAGGAGGCTCTTGTGGGCTGCAGAGGGGTACCTGACCTGTTCTGGGGGGCAGGTCCAGGAAGGCTATGAGGGGCCTGATGCATAAGCGGTGTGCATAGGATAGGTGAGAACTGACAGCCAGAGGAATTCTGGGAAAGGCACTGATCAGCCCAGGCAGTCTGGGTGGGTTCAGCAGAGGAAGAGCCTGCACGCAGAGCAGGGGGGTGTCCTATGAACCTGACCAGGTTGTCCAGCTCCAGGTCCTGGCTGTCCTGTCTGGGCCTCTTTCTCTTCATTGAAAAGTAGAAATCCTCACTGTTAACACCTGCCACATAGGATTCTTTGCCAGACCATTCTTTATAAGGCCCTTGGAATAGTTTCTGACCTAGAAGCTTTCAAATTGCGTAGGTATCAGAAAATTCATGGTGTATGCTTTTCTGGAAAACGGAATAAGCAACTTTGAGAAGGAGTCCATGGTTTTTAAAAGGAAAAAAATCACTGGGGTGGAACTTGGGAGCTTTGGCAAGGTTTTGGGTAGAGAAGGGACAAAGACAGCTGGCTGGAGAGGTCCCTGTGGACTGCTGGGGATGAAACAAAAGGTGGTATGAAGGCCTGGGCAGCTCCGGGCATGGCCAGGGGATGGAATGGGTCTATCCAGGATATTTGGATGCAGGGTGGTTGGGCCTTGGTGACCGAAGTGTTGTACAGAATGGGTGGAGGAGCAGCCCTGACTGCAGGGAGCAGAAGTCAGTTCCAACCCAGTTAATACCAGTCCAACTTGCTGGTATTCCCAAAGAGGGCACCAAGTCCCAGAGGGATAACCTTTCACTCTCAAGGGAATGAGACCTCCCACCTCCCTAAGATGCCCCACAATACCAGGTAGTCAAGTGGCTTTTTTTCCCCAGAGTTTGGGGTCCTTTTAGGAATGTCTTAAGACAAACGGTGGCACAATTGGTATTCTGTAGGTCGTATTCTACAATGGAGAGTCCACACAGTTTCCAGTTTTCCCCACAGCAGTTCTTTTACATGTTAGGTACATTTTTTTTTTTCTTTAATATGACAGCGGAATGCACTACAATTTTTATTACACATATAGAGCACAAGTTTTCATCTCTCTGGTTGTATACACAGTATATTCACACCACTTCGTGTCTTCATACCTGTACTTTGGATAATAACGATCATCACATTCCACCATCATTCATAACCCCATGCCTTAGGTACATCTTCAGGCATGAGTAATTGCCGTTGATGGCTCTCAGCAGAACAGGCAAGAGTACTTGAGGCCTGACAGGCTGTTCTTAGCAATCTCTGGCCTGTGCCCTTAGTACAGACCTTTTCTTTTCTTCCTAGGCTCCTGAGCCTCTGAGCTCCCTGAAGTCCATGGCAGAGCGGGCAGCCATCAGCTCTGGTATTGAGGACCCTGTGCCAACGTTACACCTAACGGAGCGAGGTAAGAGTCCAGGGATGGTGGAGAAGGGGGCAGGTCAAAGAGAAGGGGTTGGCCCCATCCATCCTCCTCATCCAAGGGCTTGACCCTCCCCTCCCCACAGACATCATCCTGAGCAGCACATCAGCACCTCCGGCCTCAGCCCAGCCACCCCTGCAACTGTCAGAGGTGAACATACCACTGTCGCTGGGCGTGTGTCCACTGGGGCCAGTGCCCCTCACCAAGGAGCAGCTCTACCAGCAGGCCATGGAGGAGGCTGCCTGGCACCATATGCCCCACCCCTCTGACTCCGAGCGCATCCGGTGAGGGGCCACAGAACGGGCTGGGGGCCGGGACTCCAGAGTCTGAGGGAGGAGGCAGCAGCTGGGGAGCTGGCTCCCAGTCCTGAGAGGCTGTAGGTAAAAGTGAGCTGGCCCCAGGAAGTGATGAAGGCCTGGCTCAGGTTCCCTCCAGATGGCCTGAGATCAGGGCAGGAGCCAGAAAGCAGCTGGCACTAACCCCCTGCTGCTCCACAGGCAGTACCTACCCCGGAACCCTTGCCCGACGCCCCCCTACCACCACCAGATGCCGCCCCCACACTCGGACACCGTGGAGTTCTATCAGCGCCTGTCGACTGAGACGCTCTTCTTCATCTTCTACTATCTGGAGGTACAGCAGGGCCCCCGGGGCAGCCTCGGGCCCCCCGGCTCCGCCGCCACCGCCGCCGTCCCCCCTCGGGCTGGAGGGGCGAGGTGGGTGCCCCAATGCGGCCACCGGGACCGCACCCCCCTCCCTATCCCAGTCCCGGGCCCTGATCCCCCAAACCAAGACTGTCCCAGTCTCCATCCAGCCCAGTTGTGTCAAGAGCTACTCAGACTGAGGGAGAGGCAGGCCTCAGTGGCAGCCCAGACCATTTGGTTTCTCCCTGGCATGGCCCAAAGCCCCTTCCCAGCTCTCCTCAGCCAGGCCCTTTAGTCTTGGACCCCCTGTTTTCAGGCATCCCTGCAGACTTCTTGGAACCCATGCATCCTCCTGACCCCAGCCCATCATGAGTACCCTCCCCTCATCCCCACTGAGTAGTACTCTAAACTTTCTCTTTTGAGCTCTCTTCATATATTAGTTTCTCTTCCTTCTCAAAGCTTCTTTGAAAGCAATTTCCACCTCCTGTCTCATTTTTCTTCTCCTGACCAACATTGGTATGTTCCATGCCCCCAGCGCTGTCTGCAAACGGATTGTCCAGCCCAACTGTGGTCTGTAGTGGGGGCCCGGGTCCAGCCCTAATGCCCCACCCCATTCCCCTGGTCCCTACCCAGCTTGGGGGCCCCCTGATCCCCCCCTTCCTGCCTTCTTCCCCTAGGGCACTAAAGCACAGTACCTGGCAGCCAAGGCCCTAAAGAAGCAATCATGGCGATTCCACACCAAGTACATGATGTGGTTCCAGAGGCACGAGGAGCCCAAGACCATCACCGATGAGTTTGAGCAGGTGAGGGCCCCACCCACCCCCACCCACCCTGGTCCCACTGAGAGATGGCTAGCATTCCCAAGCCCAGGCAGCCCCTGCTGGCCTTTCTCCTTCACTCCCACTCTTCAGCCAGCTGAGACCTGCAGACTAACCAGGATGGCTCTGCCTGGGATGCAATTCTCATCCTTCACTTGTTGAGCTCTAGGTCTGAACCCAAACACTGGGCCCAAAACAGGCTCAAACTGAGCCCAAGTGTCCCTGCCCAAAGAAGGCTTCCTGGAGCCAGCAGCCTGTGTCTCTTCTGTGTGGCACTAGGCGCCTTGGTTGGGAGTGTGAATGTCCTAGTTGACATGTCTCCCTGAAGCAGGCTGTGGGCTCCACTGTACCCAGCAGCAGGGGCTCAGCAGACACTAGGGAGGCTGTCAAGGTGGCCTTCTCACGTTCCAACAATTAGCCCCTAGGAAACATCTTGTAGTCAGCCTCCTGAGTTTGAGCCCAGCTCCAGCTGGCTGACCTTGGGCAGGCAAGTCCCTTATTCTATTCTGTCATCTTATTTGTAAAAATGGGGTAATAGGACCCACCCCTGCAGTTGTACAAGGATGAAATGAGCTAATAACATGTACGTACTAATGGTGCCTGCTGCACAGTGAGTGTTGGGGGACATTTTTTTTTTTTAAAGTTACTTTCATTTGGTGTGTTCCACAGTGGTTTTCCTCCACAAATGTTTCCCAGATGTCAAGCCCCTTCAGTGATCCTTGTCCTCACCAAATTCCATCCTGCTCCTCTGATCTCCAGGCTGCTTTCTTTGAAGCATTTCAGACCCTCACTCAGGACCTAGCTCTTCTCCAACCTTGATCGCTTGACTGCTGACTTTGTGTCCCATCCTAGTTTGGTCCTTCACATCAGTACATTCTAGGGCATCCAGTCATTTAGAAATTCCCACACCATCACTGTCACAATAAAGTGTCCCTGCAGAGCACTTGGAATATAGACTCTGAGCATGTTGGGAGCTCTAGGCAAGGGCAGTGGTACCTGTGGCCTTAGGTTCTTTGTGGAGACTCCACACTAGGCCTTTACATCTGTACTGGGCACCCGGGAGATGCTCCACAGCTGCAGCCATCTGAAAGCAGGGGGAGCTCTGCAGACAGGCCTGGGTAGAGGCTTGACTGGGGTGCACACACCAGACCACTATGGTGGAGTGGAATTGCGTGTGCATGTGGGGCAGTTGGTCTGGCACCTCTATGGCCCCTAGAACTGCCCCCTGTTGGTCTGACCCAGCTCCCAGTCCACCACCTCATCCACTCACTGACCACCTTCTCCCCTGGCCAGGGCACCTACATCTACTTTGACTACGAGAAGTGGGGCCAGCGGAAGAAGGAAGGCTTCACCTTTGAGTACCGCTACCTGGAGGACCGGGACCTCCAGTGACACCGGCCCCCTCTACCTGACCCTTCCCCCGCATGCTGATCCCCCTGCCCAGGTGAGGGCCCTGCCCTGGAAGACTGGGGAGGCCCCAGGCCATGGGGCACCCCCTCCCCCAGGAAGCAGGGAGAGGGCCGGGAGGTTTTCTCTTCCTCTCAGCCCCACCCTGGGGGCCCCGGGGGCGAGGGCTGCCCCCTCCTCCCCTCCCCAGTGAGGGACATTTTTTGGTAAACCTATTTTCATTTTGGAAAATATTTATGAATAAATAGTTTTATATGACGGCTGGCAGTACAGCCTCTCCTGTACCCCCTCAGGAGTCAGTGAGCAAGATGATCCTGCTGGCGGGGCCGCCGGGCTAGCTGGGGGTTGAACTGGGAGTTGTACCGCCGGCGTCGATCATCTATCTCTTCCTCTGGCTGACCCTCCTGGGGTACCCTGCCTTGGATCCGGGCCAGCAGGGCCTCAGCCCGAGCCCTCTCAGCCACTTCCCGCCGAAGACGCTCAGCTCGAAGCTGGTCCAGGGATGGGGGCCTAGGGAAGAGAAGCAAGGTCAGAAAGCAGGGCAGCCCTCTCACCTCTACCACCAGGAGCCCCTATGTCTCAGGCTGCTGCTTCAGCTCTTGAAGCCACCTGGTGCAGGAACACCATGAGGAAGTCTCTGCCCACCCTTTTGTGGGCTTCTGTTCTCCCCAGTCCTAAAAGCAGGTGCCCTCTGCACCCCACACACCCCAACCAAGGTCAAGTGCAGAGTAGCATCCTGGGGAGAACAGGGAAACCTCTGGACTGGTTTCCCTTTGTGAGGTAAATCAAATTGTAGTCGGAAACGCCCCCTGCACTTGGGATCTAGCATCTTGAGGACACAAGCCTGCTTTTATTCTCTAACCCAGTGATTCTCAAATGTTTTGGTCTCAGGACCCTTTTATACTCTTAAAAACTGAGGAAATCAAAGATTTTCTAAGTTTACATACGTAAGTGTTCATAACATCAAGCAATCGGAGCAAAGACATCTCGCATCATGAAAAAGCAGCTTGACACTACAGGACTCCAGAGGGCTTTTTTGGAACTTGGGGTCCCTGGACCACAGGTTGAGAGCCACTTCCTACCCCACCTGCCGCATCAGCGGGGGTGCCCAGGCAGGGCTGCTGCCACGTTCTGTCTGGATGGTCTGCCCTGCCTTTGTCTTTGTTCTTACTGCTTGGGCCGCTGCTTCTCAGATCCTTCCATTTTTCCCTTTCTGTTGTGACCTCGTTCTTCACTGCTGTGCCTTCTCTTCTTCCCCAGATGTTTCTGCATCTCCTGTAAGGGGTCTAGTCGGTTCTTGATCTTCTCATCTGTGCCTGAGCCTGTTGGGGAACCCCCTCGCTTTGGGGGGAGCTGGTACCAAGGGGGTTGAGTCTGGGCCTCTGCTGCACTCTGGCCCAGGTATGTCAGGATGCCCAGCGCTTTTTCTTGCCTCTCCTGAGGGAGCCAGAAAACAGGAGAGGTGTTGACAGAACTTGAGTTCCTCAGGGAGCTCTAGATATGGTAACAGAGAAACCGAGGGCATCCTACCCAGAGCACAAGGTCCTGGGGAGACCTAACCAGTCATTCCACCACTGGAAATCAAGGGCCAATCATCAATCAGCTATCAGGTGCTAAGGCCTAATGCAAACAGGCTGAACTTCTGATGTAGGCACAGTGGCAAATGTAGTACCAAGCAGGTAAATGGGAGGATGGGGCAGAGCTCTCTGAGTTCAAAGGCAGGCTTTGGGGAGACAGCTGAAAGCACAGTGGTGGAGGTTGGGGAATAACAATCTCAGAATGATGGAAATGCCAGAGAGCTATAGAGTGGCAGGGTCTGATTCACATTTAAAAAGTTTAAGAAGCTGGGTGTGGTGGTGCACGCCTGTAATCCCAGCAGCTCAGGAGGCTGAGGCAGGAGGATTGCTAATTCAAAGCCAGCCTTAGCAATTTAGCAAGGCCTTAAGCAACTCAGCAAAACCTTGTCAATAAATGAAATACAAAAAAGGGCTGGGGATGTGGCTCAGGGGTTGAGTGCCCTAGGGTTCCATCTCTGGTACCCCAAAATAAAAAATGTCAGCACCACCTCCATCATCTACTAACCAGGACTGTGAGTGCCCCACAGGAATAACCAGTGTCCTAGGCACTGTGTTCTAGCCTATTGCAAATGTTCTGTTTATTTCTTTCACTATACTTCTTAATGCTCAGTCACAGCCCGGGGCCAAAATGTCCTCCGTCTCCCAGCTCTCTTCAGTATCCCTCTGATGACACAGATGAGGCCAGCTTACTTTTTCCTGTCGTTTTTCTTCTTCATAGTCTTTATTGCCTCTGGTCACCCCTTTCCCTTCCTCCAGCAAATCCCGGAACAGGTCCACAGGGCCAGACCTTGGAGCTCCTGCCTCTGCTGCATCGAGTTCAGACAGTGAATTCTGATGCCTGGCTTTCTTCCTTAGGAACTCTGTGCGAGCCTGGGGGAAAAGAATTATAGGCAGGATATGCAAAACCTACAGGTCGCTCAAGGGGACTCAAATGTGCTGACTGCAGAAAGCATAGCGGTCCATCATGCTGGGGGCTACAAGAGAGAACACAGGCACTGGGACCCAGAAGAGGCACCTGTCTCAGCAAGGGTGAAAACAGTAAATGGTGAGGTTATCAAAGACAGGTGGAAAAAGATCCCTGGCCTAAACCAAAAGGGATTCCAGTCTGGATAAAAACAGGTACAGGACCAGGCATGGTGGTGCTTGTAATCCCACGTACTGGGAAGGCCGAGGCAGGGAATGCAAGCTGGAGGCCAGCTAGAACAACTTAGCAAGACCCTATTCCAAAATTTAATGGCGGGCTGCAGATGTAGATTGGTAGTGGAGCATTTGCCTAACATGTTTGAGTCCCTGGTTTCAATCTCCAGTACCACAAAGAGAGGGGGGAAAAAAAAAAAAAGCTATTGGGCTAGAGGTGCAGCTCAGTTGTCGAGCCCCATCTTAGCATGAGTGAGGCCTTCGGGTTAGATTTGATGGTAATGGTGGTGATTTACAATGGTTATGAATGTAGTCAGATTGCTTCAGGGCAAACGCTCTAAATCCCAGGCATTGTATCAAGTCACTACCCCAAAATGCTTAGTAATTGAGAAACGTGAATTTTAAAACCCCAGATTGCCACCACCTCTCCAGCCACCGTTGAGGATCAGATTAGCTGAGGAATTAGGTGTAAACCAAACAAATTTAGGAGCTATACAGAAAGCCTCTGAGTTGAGTGTGGTGGTCCATGCTTCTAATCCTAGAGACTCAGGAAACTGAGGCAGAAGGATCTTAAGTTTGAGGCCGGCCTCAGCAACTTAAGTGAGACCTGTCTAAAAAGCCGGGAGGGTGGTGGGAATGTAGTTTAGAGCGTCCCTGAGTCCAATCCCCAGTACAAAAACAACAGAAAACAAAAACAAAAACTTGCGTCTGGGAAGCAGTTCAAGGAAAGGGCTCGTCCAGTGAAGTGGAACCTGGCTTGTGCCACTGTTCCCTCTTCCTGTGCCTTCCTCTCTGAAGCTACCTCGCTTCGTGCAAGATGACAACCCCCCTCCGAGAACTCAGTGCTTAAGATTCGGAAATCAAGTGGTCTGCACAAACTGAGCACACAAATAGGGTGCGCAGGCAAACTAGTTTGAAACGCATTTTTACAGATTGGTTTATTTATTCGACAACTAATTATTAAACTCCTACTCTGAGGCAGGCTCTGGACACTGCAAACACATCAGGGGAGAATCAAGACCAGAGATTTCTAGAGGTTTTGCGGAAGTGGGCTTAGAGCTAGCAAAAAAAAAAAAAATCGTCGCCAAAAGCTGGAGCGGCGACTAGTAGCAGCGCACCGCGCCTGCGCATCTCCCACTTCCGCTTCCTGCCCGCGACGCCGGTGCGATTAGCCGCGATAGCTCCGCCCGCCCGTACTCGAAGCTTACCTCTTGTTGAGCAAGCAGTACCCTCCTTTCACGCTCCTTTTCTTCCTCCCTGGCCTGAGCTTCGTCACGCCTCACGCGGGCGACATTGTCCTTATTCCGAACATGCCAGCTCTTCTTGGGCAAGATGTTCATGGCGCTGTAGCTGTACACAGACTGGCAGACCCGCCTTCTAGCACTTCCAATTGGCAGGAGATGCCCCGCCCTGTTCCCTACCTCGGCCACGGTTTGGTTTAGGTCAATTAGCACCGCTCCTCCAAGTCCGTAGAGAAAGGTGATTGGCCAAGACACTCTCCATCACAGCCAATCCTAGACATTGGGCGTTTTGTACGCCTGGCGACAGCTCTTGTCGGGATTGTCAAGCGGCCCTGCCCCTGATGCTACCGGAAGCGGCCGCCGATTGGCTGCCATGCCGTCTAGCCCCACGCGCCGACACGCATGCCCATACACCCGATTGGCTAGTCCCGGGGCAAAGCCCTACCCCAGGCTTCAGGACTCTGGTTTGAAAGAGCGCTCAGGAACCTCAACCCTGTTTATTAAAGTGATCAGAAGGTTCAATTAGACCGTCCGTACTTGGCAGCGGAAGCTCTGGAAATCTCGGGACAGGGCTGGGGAATGTCTGGGGCCTCACGGTGGGACGTCATCCCGAGACACGCTGGTCGAAGCCCCTTTGGCGGAGCTCATTGCCACTGTCCGCTGTGCCAGGAAGACTTTATTCTGCGCTTCCTGGGGTCAAGAGAGGTGAAGATGAGACACACCTTCTCTCCCCCATGGCACTTTCCATGTCCCCGAGGAGCCCTTCCCAGGGACTGGCCTGGCTCACCGTCTTTATCTGGCGTTTGAGCTCAGAGATGAGGCGTCCATAAGAGTTAGCTAGGGCCACGGTATACGCCATCAGGATGCTAAGGGAGAAAGGAATGGAAACCTCTCCAGAAACTCTCTTAGATTATCTTCACCCTATGTCTCATTAAAAAACAGAGACTGGCACGCATGAGCCAGGCCCCAGGTTGAATCCCCAGCAACACAGAACAGCCACCACGGACACGCGTCCTGACCTACGTATTTAGGCAGGATGCAGTGGTGAACACCTGTAATTCCAGCTACTCGGGAGACACAAATAAAAAGGGCTGGGGATGGGGAGATGTAGCTTAGTTATAGAGCGCCCCTGTGTTCCAACGCCAGTGCTGAAAAGAAGGGGCGGGGGAAGACTCCAAGACCCCCTCCTCCTTCAGATTCAGGAATTCAGTCTTCTAGACCCTCCTCTTTCTTAGGAGCAAGGACTCCAGGGTCTCACCCCTCCTCTCACGCCCAGGAGAGCAAGACCCTATTCTCCTCCTCT